TTGCTCTTGCTAGTGTAAAGATGACCGCAAGAAGCGCAAACAAATTGCTGAAAGATATTGCGGAAACTTATTGCTAATGTAAGGCCAGCCTTACAATCCAGTTATTGAAAAGCGACCTTAAACTTAAAAAAAAAAAACACCTTTTCAAAGACTGTGTGGACTCCAACAGTAGACTTTGCTACTTGTATATAAAATTCATAATTCAATTACCATCAATATTGCATCAATGAATACATGTGGTACACCTACCTCTAACTGTATGTACACCATCAAAATTGATCAAACTCAATCCACTTGTGCCGATAATTTTCGGAAATTATCAACGAAATATTTCAAGCCATTTCAATCCACTCCAATAAATTTTGATTAAATTAGCAGTATCAATCCATATCAAACCACATAGAAAAGTGCAATGAGAATAATTGCATTTCATGAAGTCTAACTCATTTCCTACACTTTGTGCACATACTGCAGCGCTAACTATACTCAATGGAATTTACTACAACCAATCACCAAGAATAATTCCAAGCCAATTTTAAAGTACAATTTCAAATCAGCATGAAGATTAGTCCATTACCCAATGGTGTGAGAAATTTGGTGCAAGAATTTGAATTGCGATTAATATTTTGATGAAAAACAAACAAGTACTTAGATACAATGCTCCAAATAATGATTGAAATTAATAAAACTATTAGATATCCCCCCCCTCCAAGTTTGTCCAACAAAGACACACTTACGGCAGTCATTAACACCACTAAACAGATTCTCAAAACATATTTCTACCCCAAATCCTCATCGTACCCTACCCATAATCAAGACACTTGCATTTCTTAATTTTACCTGAATTGCACTAACTATTCTGCGATTACTTGGGATGTAAAAAAAGAGGGAATTCTGATCAGAATAAAACAATTCACATGATGCAACACCATTTAATACAAATGTACTAAAAATTACAAGAAACAACATATTTCCAATTTTCCCAGCAAATCGCCCTTAACCTTGCACAAAATGAAGACTGCTTGCTATTTGCACAATCTGCTCTTTCTGAAGAAATTGTCTAAAAGATTCAAAATTCGATTATCCAGGAAAGCCATCTGAAATAGTATGGTCAAGCACAATGTTTTAAGAATGCAAGTAAATCCATTCATACACTAATTTTTATTCACACAAAATCAAGTCCAGATTATTCCAAGAACACCTGCTCCCCTCCCACCCATTTCCAAACCAAGACTTCCTGCTTAGTAACAGGAAATCAGACCAAAGAAAAATCTTGACCCTATGTTTTTCAATTCCCGGAAAAATCCTCATTGCAATAAGTAACTATCAATTGGCCTTCTACGTTTGTACCAAAGAAACTCTTCTGTAAAAGGACGATTCTCAACACCAACAACAATCTTATCAAAATTTTCCGATATATGACGAAACAGCAATCGAAATGGGACAGGAAAGTTCGCAGCTAGACTTAAGGAAACTTAAATGCACTTACCTTCCAACTCGAGCAATCTCTTTACTCTGAAACATTGTAACAATTGATCATCAAATTATTCCATTCATGATCATAAAACCACCCGCCCCTCAGCAATCTTGTACTGTTCCCTCAATGTAGATAAATATCACTACAGAAGGACCATTTCAGACATATTGATGAAATGTGTAAAATTCTCAGAACTACCGGTGGCAGTGAACTCTTGGCATGCAGGCATTAAATCGCTTCAGCACCAAAAGGCAGGTGACAAATTACAAGTAAAAAAGGAACAAGCACAGATTTCTTCGAAAATAAAGCATTAAAATGTGTAGCAGTATCAATCTTACAGCAAGTGCCAGCACATTCCAATACAATAGGAAAAAAATTAAAAAATTACTCCTCGGCACTTGTTACATAATAAGATTCGAAAGATCGTGGAACTTACCAATATATAGCACTTCTGGAGTACCATTATGGCTAATGTCATTTATAAATGAGTAGATTAACATAGTAAACTCGTACTTTACCTATGTATTATTAAGCAACTAATATCAAAGAACAATGTGACGTTAACGTATCGAACATAAGACTGAAAAAATCTGATATATTAAGGATGACCAGTGAAAAACGGACACCGATTCCTTTATGAGGTACACTGCTCCACTGCCACCACACCGTCTCGGCCACTGCTACCCGCAACTGCTACCCCAACGGCACGAACACTGCTACTCAGCCACCGAACGACCCCAACACAGCCTTCTGCCAACTGCTACTCTCACTTGGCTGGTTTGGCAGCACTCACCGCTACCACCACCCGCCCTGCGGTATTGGAAAAACAGGGTTAGCCGCAGTCATATGAGGTAATTTCATTATTTTATATATTCCACTGAATGAACAGGGAATATGAAATTCTGCCTATTAATAACAAATTTCTATAAACCGTTTTTAATCTTATGAATACAGAATTAAATTAAACCAAACAACTTATGTATCAGAATAATAAATCTTTCATATCAGAAATAAGTCATTACATATTACAGAACTTAAGATAGTGATGACACTAAATGAAAGTACTGCCCATTTGCACAGGCTGTAGCAAATACAAAAAAATATTTAATTCGAAGTGCAAGTTATAGCAAAGCCAAACTTTTTGTAAACACAACTATCTAATTTCACCAGTCACAGAAACTTACATTTACACATCTCATTTCAAAATTAAAATGCCTATCTAATACAAAGGTTACATTTTGAAAATGCAACATAACACTCCCACACAACACACTGGGAGTTTGTTGAATAGTAGTTTTATTTGTGCAAGACAAAAAAGTTAGAACATGTCAGTGAAATCTTCCTTAATACTCAAAATTTAACAGAACATCTCAGGTATAGTCACGAACAAATACAGAATACGGTCACCTTGACCACATGACTACATTTATCAGTCCCACTTCTATACACAGTACGCAATCCATGTGAATAGCACTATTAAAGTTCTGCAACATTTCAGCGAATTTGATCCATTTCAAGGGAACTATTTTGCTCCAGATAAAGGAAATTAAGATCATATTAAGAAATTACATTTAATACACTACACTTGAAATACAATGATCCATGATGAAAGTAACATGAAGTTCACAATGCATTTAAAGCAGCTTGTATAGAAGCAGGGCATAAAAACAAAAATAGCAGAAATGGTACCAGTCTAATGCTAGAAATTGACATACATTCTATCTTAAGTCACTAAAAGTATTTGTAACGTTTCACTGGCAACATCTTTAATTTTGGATAATCATTTCCAAAGCACAAATTCTTACAAGGAATGACAAACACTACTTTTCCCATTATACTTGTACAATAGAGCATCTAGCATTGCACTCACAAAACTTTTCATTTCTGCATATCTTTTTACACATTTCTTGACAACAGGAGACTTGGTACAAAAACAAACTTTTTTTATGCAGTATACAAAATATTAGTATTGTATGACACCACCATTTTAACAAATGTAAAATCATGAAATGACATTATGTTGTTGAATGAAACCAGTTCACAGTATCACGAAATCAGGACACTTTATATATATGAAATAAACGGATTTCTAAATCTAATGAATTTTCTTCCAAAGTTTTATAATTAATCAGTACCTTTCAGTGCAGAGGACAGCTTCCATCAAACTAATCCACATATATAAGTATTACGGAAATCCTTCTGCACCAAGCAACCTGGAGAATAACACCACTGTACTTTCACACACCATTACACATTATTTCACAAACTATGTTTCATTCCAACTAAGATATAATTAAATTGAAATTTACCTTTTCACTTTGATTTAGATCTGGACTTGCTCCTGCTTCGATCTCTTGGACTCCTGCTTCTGGATGGAGATCTTCCACGAGAGCTCTTGCTGTCAGAACGTGACCTGGAACGAGAGCGCCCACGAGACCTAGAACGAGAGCGTGACCTGGTGTACGAGCGACGGCGGCTCCTGGAACGTGAGCGGCTCCTGGATCGAGATGAACGACGGCGAGAGCGAGATCTAGAGCGGCTGGAAGATCAAAATAGATTAGCACAAGATACATAATACTACACTACAAAAAAATTAATTATCCTTACCTCCTCCGACGGCTATGACGGCGATATGGAGATGATGGTCTTCCATAACGTGCCATTTGAACACGAAGTTCCCTTCCATCTAGAATTCTGCCATCCATTGCATCCAATGCATCTTCAGCGTCTCTCTTGTCATAAAACCTAAAATAGAAATTTCAAGAGTAGAATATAACACAGGGCAAAAATATTATAAACAATTCAATTAGAATTTTCAATGCCATTATAGTAAAAAAACCGATTGGCAAAATTAATAGGCCAAACGTCCAAACGTGTGTAATATACGTCTGCCAGATTGAGTGATGCCAACGTATACACCCATTTTGTTTTGAATTTAGTGAGTCAAAATGTTAACAATTATTACAAAACTCCCTCTTGAAAAGTACCCAATCAAAATCCGATGATGGCAAATAAATGGCATTTTCTAATCTCCCATATACTAGTTATTCACCGAGAAACCTTTTCACAATGTTTGTATTTACCAGCATTAAACTAACTTAATTTAGCTCCCCATGGCGACGCGTCACAATTTATCATATTACGGCTATACAACAAACATTTAACACAAGTAGCCAAAATCGAAACTCGTACGTAAAAAAGTGCTGAAATTTATATAAAATGCCATCAAATATCCCTCATAGTCATAGAATATTAGCAAACCAAACAAATAAAACAAGCCATTAATTTCACAACACATGAGCGTCAAATATCGACCTACATACCCAAGCCAAGGCCCGCCATGATTGTTTCATGAAATGGCGCAGTATTTCTCAATATTAAAAAAGCCAGGGTATCCCAACATTATACATACCTCACGAAGGCAAATCCTCTACTCTCTCGAGAAAATCTATCACGTGGAATATAAATATCGCCCACCTCGCCGCATCTCTCGAAAACGCGACGCAAATCTTCAGGCGTCGTTCGATAGGTCAAATTATCCACTTTCAAGGAAACCATCCCGTCAATACGGGGAGGTGGCCTTCCGTAACTCATTGTCGCCAATCAGAATACTCAAATCTAAAGAAACTATCACCACGGTATTTGTTTTCACGGAATTTCGAAAAATTCTACGTTTACACCAGCACCGGCGCACAAAACACGTCCTACCTCAGCGACCAACTGGCGCAAAATGGCGGTTTTCTAGAAGACTCGAGCAGGAAGTAAAACTATTTAAGTCAAATCATTTTCCAACCCATCACAAAAAATGAAAAAAAAATGCTTTAAACTTAGTAATTTGTGTAATTTTAAATGAGATTTTTATAAAATAAGTTTTCACTTCTCACATCGTCCAAAACATAAAACTTAATTTTACGGTACACGGTGAGACACTCAATTGACTCAAGAACATCCTGTTCGTTCAAAACAACTGAAGTCAAGAATATAGCTTAAACTAACATTGAGTTAACTAACCTTACAAAAGCAAATCCTCTGCTTTCTCTGGAGTATCTGTCTTTAGGGATATAAACATCACCAAGAGTTCCAAATTTTTCAAATACGCGCCTGAGGTCCTCAGAGGTTGTTCTGTACGTCAAGTTTCCAACTTTCAAAGAAATCATGCCATCTATGCGTGGAGGAGGTCTTCCGTAACTCATATTGGCATGAAAGATAAAATAAACTGGATCTCACTGTGTTAACAGATGCCTTTCTCTAGAGCAGTTTTGATCTTCATGCACTTGGTTTAAGGAATGTCACAAATTTTCCTCACGTTTTCACAGAGATAATTTCCGCGTGACAATATGGCCACCACAGTAATAGTCTGACGTCAGTTGCTATGGAGATAGCACGCCGGGACTATAAACAGTAAACACTATGTTGTTTATTGTAGCTTTCTTCTCCTGCTTTCATAATTTCTATATTCCTGACGACATCATTTCCGTTTTTGTATGTCAAACAATTCGAACATCCAAACTCCTTCTTGATTTTTTCTGTAATGAGAAACCGCACAACTCTTCTTTAGAAGAGGAAATCGTGAAAGTATTTTTGGCGAAAGAGGAAGTTGCAGAAACTACACAACCACATGTAATAAATTGTGTACAAAGGGTACCATTCAAGGAATACTGACAAACAATAGAAATCATCGTTCGAAAGCCCTAGGTGGCTATTATGTTAGGAGATTGGTATAATCACACTTGATAGGTTAAAGTACTTCGTCAGAGTTTAATATTGCAAAGTAATACTTGATTTAGATACTCAGTATTCTTCATTTTACGAATGGTAATATTTGGGATGTTTTTAACTTATTTCAGTATTTTCAACTTTGTTAGCAAATTCATCATCTTGATTGTAGTTTTCAACATTCCTAGTCTCAAACTGAGGTACACAGATACATTTATTCTAAGTCCTTTTGCTATGCAACTAGTTCCTCTATTGCATGGTACACTGATATCATTGATCTCACTATTGTCCCAAACAGTAGCCTACTCATGGAGTAATAAACAAATAAACCCTGAACTCTATTACCAGAACAATTAAATTCAAATTACACCTAATAATAATTGAAATTAATACATTGCCCATATAAGATCTTTCTCAGGGAAATTATTATTAGACAAATGAGAAAATCTCCTTACCATTGCTTAATTCGTTACCAAATAAGTATGGCAAAACTGAATTCACATTATTTCATCTGCTAACTAAAGATTTGCCCTTCTACCCACTACTTGGACCCTTATATTCACTAGAATAATCAAACTTAAGGTCAATAATATGTTATGTTAAATGATTATACTATATAAATCACCCGTTTTATTTAATAAATCCAGTCAAAATAGTTTTTAATTAAAATAATCCATAATAAAGTTTTTAAGTAAAATAATCCAGTCAAAGTAGTTTTTAATTATTTTTTTTCCGAATCAAAAAAGAAAGAGAGTGCCAAACTCCCATTAGTTTTCATGAAAATTAAGTAACTCTCTCTTATCGTTAGACAGCATTTAAATAGAATAGGGTATTATTCTCCAAGTCCTATTTCTCTTCCTGGCCAACAATTACTTCTTGTGTGGTGTGTCAGCTTGTTTATCTAATTTACTTTCATTTTAATTCTATTTCAAATTTTAGGAGTGACTCCTCACAGACATCTCTTGTCCTTCAACTGAAAGCCCCTCATACTGACTCACCTCATCATTGTTTCTCAGCCGCTAGTGCCAGACAGGCCATAATTGACCAGGACCTCTGTCCTCCATTAAGTAAATGCTGATACAATGGGTCACCTTGGCTTATTTATAACTGTCTCCACATCATATGGTATAATATCGTATTACCTTTTTATAAAGGAATTTTTGTGGCTATGGAAAAAGGCGATCCCGACTCACTGTACTTTGTACTTATGGGTATTAGGTAATTTTGGTTCTTATGTTTAATTTTAATATTTAATCTGGTTAAAATTTCTTGTTTCACAGACAGTGCCTAAAGAAGCGACACAAAAAGTCACAAAATGTTGTAACACAGTTCTAGAATGAAACAAATATATATGCTTTTTATCACAACCTGTGTTCGTCTGCCTTTTATTGATTCCTATTTTTATCTATGATTGTCTATAATACCAAGGATACTTAAAATCAAGAACTACACAATCTATAAACTACTTTATGTATTTTGAATTAACTTTATAACAGTTTTTTTTAAATTCATTTATATACACTAGGTATTCAATGCCCGTATTTAATATTTTTTTAGTTATTGTTAATTCAATTACTTATTGTTCATTTTATCTAATTTATATTTCATTTTGTAATTACATTTTTTTTTATTGCAGCTGTCAAGATGCTCATTACAGAAAGACCATTCAATTTTTAACATTAATTATAATGTAAACTGAATCAACAAAAAAAGAATTTCTTTAATTTTAGACCTCAAGGAACTTTACTCCTCATCTTACAAACTTTAATGTTCTAAGTTTATATTTTCTTAAACATTCTCCAATAGAAAGACCATTTATTACAAATGATAGTGTAATTTCATGTGGAATTGCAAAACAGTTGAGTGCACAATAGTTTTGAAATTGACTCATTTGATCAAAGTTAAGTAGTAAAGAAGCCATGTGTATGAAAAGTCTGTTTCTAGATTGCAAATGTCTACAGACTTTGGGCCATATTCCTATTTTCTTCCCTATTTCAAGATTAAGATGGAAAGGCATTAATTATTGAAGAAATACAAGTTGGATGACTTGAAATATACCTGTTTGTTTTGTGTTTCTTTCAATGACCAATTCCACCTTGAAACAAGGGATGTGGAAATAGTGCATTTTGAATTTTCAAGTATGAGCCGGGTACTGACAACTGAAAATCAAATACATGAAATAATATTAAAATTGAACTTTTTAAAGTTCTCTTTTGCTTTCTTTCAATAAGCAAAATTCAGAGTAAAGTGTATTTATGACATTCATTTATTGATTTGTCCACTCACAATGATTTACTCTTTGCTTTGAGATAAAATATCAGATTATGCAGGTCTGGAAAATATGATTTTATATGGAAGGGGAAAAAAGGAATAATGAGATTCAAAAGATTTAAAATTTTACTTCAGTGGAAATTACATGTATATAATACATAATAATGCCAAAGGCGGGATTCAGGAGGGGCAACTCCCCCCCAATTTTGGGGCAAATTTCAAGAAATTGTATTTAGACATTTCATTTTGCAGATCTTCAAATTTATGTACAAAAGATTTACTTGTTTCTGTATTCTCACAAGAAATACAATAATATTTAAGCGAACAATAATTTTATTAAGCTTAGCCAATAACAAATAGGCAAACTTCAGTTCAGTATTCATAAAGCACACGGGACAAGGTTCAGTGTTTTTGTGAATATCCCTTATTAATAAATCCTCTTTCCATTATATTTTCCACATTATTTATTTAGAAATTACAGTTTCATGCCTAAAACCAAGGACCATATCATTCAAATTTTAACTTTCAAAAAGAGTAGTTCCCCTTTATTTTAGATATAGATAGAGGTAAAGGTTATGATATGAGCCCCCCTGATATCTTTTCATACATCACAAACATTCTAGCAAAAACGATTTTAACACCTAGTATAATAACTCCTAGTGCCATCAAAGCTAAGGGGTTGTTGTAAATGAGAGCTGGAGTGAAACAGAGATCTTTGTGTTTTTTCAGTTCTAAAAGCTTTGGAAGGTAAGTCTTTGGCTTTTAATTATAATTTGAGTTGGCATAGATCGATTCTAATTATTAACGAATAAAATACAATATGTTTGAAACATTTTCCTGCAATCTGTAATTTCGAACGTATAAAAAACCGGTTTTTGAGGGAAGAATTTTAATACGGCGATTGTTGTAAAAAAGCCCCGAACTATCGTGCCTAGACGAGCCCCAACCTTTAACGGGTTTGTATTACTTTCATTTCAACTTTTGATCGAACAGTTTTTGTTTTAGATGCCACGAATAGTACAAGGTCCAGAACAAAAAGGAACTAGTGATGTTACAGAATGGCACAGACCTTCTCGTACTAGTTAGTTTCCTAATTTTCCTAATTCCTAATTTTTTCGTCGGGTCTAGCTTTTCGGCCATGCTCCATCCTTTTGCCAGCTACCGCCTATCACCGCCCAAACATATTTTTTTCAGAATTGCTCAATTTCTCTATTTCCTAAGGGCAGGATCAAAAAACTACTTTAAGAATATTATAGAATAGTGAAACCTCGTCCTATATAGAAATTTTCGTTGAAAAATTTGAGACAATTTTTACGAAAAGGGCGTTGAAGCGTTACTGGAAATATGAAATTTGAAACTCTTTTTCATAGAAAACTATTGAGATTTTCATAAACTTTATTGGAAGTCGTTAGAGCACTGTTATTCATAAATGTAATAAAATAATGTATACATACAAATCGCCGAAAAAAAAAATTACATTCGTGTAAAATATGAAACGAAAGTATACAGCAAAATTAATTTTATGTCATCTAAACAGTGCAATTAGCATTATCCGTACTGAAAGTTGGAAGAAATAATTTGGAGCCGTTTTTGAAAAAATGGTATTTGAGTGTTTCTGAAAATGCGGAAATTTGAGGTCGTTTTCGCAGAAAACTGTTGAGTTTTCGAGATTTTTTACGACCTCATTTAAAGCACATGTGCTCATAAATGCAATAATATGAACAAAACGTCTCTAATGTAAATATTAACGACATAAGAGACATGTCAAAACACACATTAGTATACTTTTTTAAAAACAAACAAAAGAATATAGCAAAATAGCGTTATATCATCATAAAGAACGCATTCAACAATGTCCATCCCAAAAGTTTAAAGAAAAACGAGAAAATCTTAGCGAAAAGCGAAATAATGTGCGTGACCTAAACGAAAGAACTAATTATGGAGAAAAAAATTGAAAGAAATATTTCTTCCTTCAATTTTGGTTTAGAAAGATGCCGAAAAAAATAAATCTCTTGCAATTTTCAAAAATTCAGTTATCAGTAATAATATAACCTATGCCGTCTTTATAAATGTATTTCACTCTTTTTACAATAAATTTAAAGGGGGAAAAATTGAAAATGCCCCGAGAGGTTCATGTAAAGAACTCTCAAACTTTAATGGATGTTTTTCAAAATTGCAGAGCTTCGACTTAATGTAGATCGACAGGGGTTTATTCAGTTCGAAAAAAAAAAAGGTAACAGTGAACCCCAGAACGCGTATTTCCGTTGAAATCTCGAAATCGATTTTCTGCAGTATTACATAACATTCTCTACACTTCATATATTACTGCGTATATACGTACGTATACGAGAAAATAACTAGTGGTGCTAGAAAATGGCACAGACATTTCTCATATTAGTTAGGTTTCTAATTTCGTTGGACTGGGCAAATACATTCTTGTCCCATCCTCTTACCAACCACCATCTATCGCCACCCAAAGCATTTTTTTTTTATTTCTAAATTTTTCGGTTTCCTGACGGTAGAACCGAAATATTACTTTAAGAATATTAAAGAAG